ATAAGCAAAGTATCTGAAAAGTAATTCATTTTAAGATGCTCTAAGAAAAAAACCTTGAATTAAACCTGGAGACCAATTTCCCCAAAAAAATGACTTGCAAAATTGAAATGGTAAACTTGTACTGTGTCCTCAGGAACAGGGCTCTTGGTAGTGTTTCAAGCACAATAAAAATGTACTTCCTGAGAAGACCAACACATGAAGTTTAAAAAAAAAAAATACGCTAACTTTTACTAAATGTTACAATCAATGATGTAACTTATATAAGTAGGGTTACTTTGTCACATATTGATAGTTACCTCACTTTCACATCCACATTAACTTGATTTTAAATGCAATTAATACATATAGTCAAGGAAGACTAATGGACTACATTCTGCACTTAACCTGGTGGACATTTTCAAATGGCACAAGTGACCAGTGCAAACCTATTTTGCATTGTAAACGACTAAATAAATCTTAATGGATTAAGAATGATCAGCTATCAACACACAAGGGAAATTAAGTGCTGAAATGCCTACATTGATTATTTTAAATTATTAGCCTTACTCTGTTCTTGAATTTGTATGCTTTTAGTGAGCTTTAACACATTTACAAGACTTATTGACTATAATTACAAGAGAATTCAAGTAATGGACACATCAATTATAAGCAACATGTCTTGACCAGACAGTTGCATAAAGAATTCTAAAAAGAGCTCCATTAGCATCTTCCTCTTACTTTTATTCAGTTTTATCTGCCTTAAGAAGGCATATTAAGAAAGTACATATTTTCTGTGCATGTGAACAAGAGTTATTTCTAAAACTGTATCATTTCAGAAAGAAAGCTGCAACAAGGCACTGACAGAGATACTAACAATGCAAACAAATAAGCATTCAGGCTTATTCCCCAAAAATGGCTAAAGTGCATGGGAATATTTGGGATCAGAAGTACAATATCTGTATTTACCTAGATTAATCTTATGCAGGTTGCCCCTTTTCTTCCTTCAACGAAAAACTTTTATCTATCTTTAATCACCCTAAACAAGTAATGACGCTTCATAGTCTTTTGTCTTCTTCCTTGTAACCATGCACCAAGTATCAAAAACTGTACGAATTTAAAGTATAGCTTTAATAATAAGCCATTATTTAAAAGTACAGTAAAATAAACCTTACAGTTTTAATGAAAATATGTTCATTGAAATGTGAATTTATTATTCAAATCCACTCATAAATTCAACCATGGAGACAGAACTTGTCTAAGCAGAGCACAATGATTTAGAAAAGCTGTCTATTTAAAATAAAGAATGTATGGCAGGTTTATAGAAACAGTGCAGTGAATTTTTACATAAATTTAGAACAGTAGCTTATGCATTTTCCACCAAAAAAAAATGTTTTTTAAAAAACTTTCCACCCAAAATTAAACATTAAAATGGAACACTAACTGTGACAGAGCACAGAGACTAAACCAGGTGCTACCTCCAGGAACACCAGATCCCCAGCACATGTTAACTTTGGAAAGTGGTGGCTAATTTTGATCCATGAAGGTAGAATCTTGTTGCCTGGAAGTTACACTTTTGGATATAAAATATCTAGTAATGAATATTTTTACATCCCTAATATCATAAGAAAAATCTGATTACTCCATTCCTTAAAAGTCACTGAACATGTCCTCTGAAATTACAAGGTACCACTTAATATATACTTTGAAAAACCAAATAATTGGTTTTTCAAATATTGCTCAGAAACAACTGAAAAGCTGCAACAGACAGCAATTTTTAAAAGGCATCAGAGAGACTAGGCTTTTCAACAAAATTAAAAGAAATGTGTCAACTAACTTGCCTTTGAGATCACTAGGGCTTAATCACCGTTAAAAATGTTAAGTGTCAACAATGACTTATTACAGCCAAGCAGAGCAGCACATAGCAATGAAATGTGAGCCGGGTAGAGGCCAGTGAGCAGCTACAGGTAGGGCTGTGTATCTGGGTGGGAACAAATGGCTCCATGTCCTCACTGACTTGGCTTGCTGCAGAGCTACATACCTGTATGAGTGCGAATGTGTGCCAGGAAGGCCATCGAGTTGCTGCTTCGACACATCTTCCCACAATACTTGCAGATATTTCCCTGGTTTTCCTCCCTCTCGCGGTTGATTTGCTCAGTGTCTTCCACTATGTATTTATTCACCTCCCGTAGCAATTCCTCATGCTGTCCTTTAATATGTAGAAATAAATTCTGTTCAGAATCAAAGGGCTCTGTGCACTTGACACATTTAAAGGTGGCCCCTCCCTCCGGAAGCTCTTCCACACTGGCCTGCTCATTTCTCATGTGGCCAGCACTAGCCAGATGCTGGTGAAGGTTGCTTTCGGTATAGAATGACTTTCCACAGAGTAAACAATGAAAGTGCTTCTCTTTTGTAGGATGCTTCATGGCTATGTGAACGTTCAGTCCACTCAGTCCATCTGCTAAGAAGCCACAATCATCACAGCGAATTCGTGTAGACTCACCCAGGGAACTGCCTTCAGATTTCTTTTTTTTCACACCTTGAGCACAGTCTTTCAAGGGCAGCTCACTAATTCTCACTCCGGTTGCTATCAGGCCCTCTTCGGACTGGTCTATCAACTCACCATCTTCTGGGTTCTTTATTCTTATTATGGAGGAGTCAAATCGGCCAAAACTGTACATGGCCTGCCCTTTATCATCAATACTAATTATAGTTTCATAGACATCATTACTTTCAACTGTGCTATCAGAAGCTGGGCCATCCTCCTCCAAAATAATTTCTGTTTCATGTTGGGAATTCATCAGAATTTCCTTATTCTCCAGAATGGGATCTTCTTGGACCCTTTTCAGGTCCTCCAAACCATGCCCACATGCAACTTTGTTCCGACCCCCACTCTCCAGATTTCCCTGTTCTTGGGTTATTCCTGTCACAACAGGAGGGGGGCTTTCAGCCGAGAGCTCTCCAGTGAGCACTGCAGGACACAGGTGTCTGTGAGGAACGTCACCTTCACTGTCTCCTACGCTTCCTCCTTCACTCTCACAATGGATGCGTAGCTCACCTGCATCATTCAATAGCTCATGGTTTTTCTTTGCTGTCTCACAATTTAAAGCAGAACTTCCTGAATTTTCATTTTGAAATCTGCTTGGGGAGTCATGGTTCAAGGAAATAGTAAAGGACATCATCTCGTCGGGTTTCCTAACTTTATCCTTGACAGGGGCCTGTTGAAAAGTCTCACAAAAGGAATGGTCTTCATTGAAATTAGATTCTTCTTCAGTCTCAACTTCTACAGAGTCAGCAGCACAGAGCACTTTAGACATATCTAAATTAGTATTCTCATTTAAAATAGAGCAATCTGCAGCATTTCTAGATTTAAGAGTGTCAGATGGTTGATCTGAAATTATTTGAAATTCCTCAGAATTTTGTTGATGCTCTTCTTCAGGCACAATGATGTTTTTGGACGTGTCTGCAGAACCTGCTTCCACATTAGCAGAGTTCAGGTAAGACTGCCTTTTCATTTTGTGTTTCTCTGTTGCCGCGTGTCTAGTCATCTCGCGACGAGTCACTGCGTAGTAATCGCATGCCATGCAATAAAACTCAAACTCTTTTGTATGTTTCCGTTTTACATGCAGCTCTAGAGAAGCAGAGGAGTGAGCATTAAACTCACAGTGCACACATTTATTCTCACCTGCGCCTGTAACATCTCTCTGGGAGTACACATCCCCCTGCTGGGCGATGTCCTCTGGCTCTAGAGATATTTGCTCCTTTTTATCAAGAAGATGCCTGTTAACTTCTCCATCTAGAGAATGAAATACATTTTCAACTTTGGCTTCAACTGAGTTTCCATGATCTGCCTTTTCTAAAACAGAGGCATGTGACTCAGCGGGTTTGTTAGCATGTTCATCTGACATGGTCATTGCTGAGCCAGCATTCTTTTTTCCGGCTTCAAGGCCACCCCCTTCAGGGCCAACAATGATATCTGAACTGTGTTTTCCACTTGCTTCTATTTCTACCCGTCCTTTATGTTTCTTGGTAGCACAATGACGTTCCATATCTCCCTTAGTTACAGTGTAATACTTACACACTTTGCATAAATAACTATACTGGTGACTGTGCTTTCGTCTAATGTGAACAGTCAAGTTTGTAATACTAGAGGCCAAAAGGCCACAGTGTGAACATGTCCGTGAGATGTTACCTTTAGGTCTCCCTCTCTTTGGAGTAGTGGTCAAAGCTAATTCATCATCTTTGGTGCTATCACCAGACTGTGACAGTTCCTTAGGCATCAGCATGCCCTTTTCAAGATAGGAATGCTCTTGTAATTGCACACCTACATGGCCTTCAATCCTTCCATTTCCGGAAACATTAAACTCTTCTTTTTTATCATTTGTACCTATACATACCCTTTCAATACATTCTTCAAAGCTTAAGCCAATATTATTTTTCTTAGCATTTTCAAGATGCTTGCTTCTTTTAATGTGCTTCTCCATTCCTTCTTTGCTCAATGAATAAAGATTACAAGCTTTACAAAGAAAATGATAGTCCTGACCATGCCGAAGCTTTATATGTCTCGTGAGGACAGTAGAAGATCTTGTTTTATAAAAACACTTCTTACACTGAAACTGAGGCTTACTGGAATGCCTCACTTCATTACCATGGCTTACCCTGGACTTCACAGGTTCTTCCTGAGCCACTTTTCCTGAGTCGTCCATAGACTCTTTTGCATTTTCTGATTCTAAAGTACTTAAAGGTAAAGTCTGTAAAACCAAATCACTGTTAGATGATTGCGAAGTCTTTGGTTGAACCAATGAACTAATATGCTTCTCAGTGGTTTTGTGTTCTTCCATGTCTTTTTCAGACAAAAAGAACAGATTACAAAGGGTGCAAAGAAAATCCATATTATGCTTTTCCTTCATGTGCTCTCTAAGATTTATTTCATCCAATGATGTAAATGAACAGCACTGACAACTCAGGACAGAAGCAGTTTGCTGATGCTGGTGACTGTGCAAATGTTCATCTAAGTCCCTCTTTGATATACTAGAAAAGTCACAAATATGGCAGTAAAATTTCATCTCTCTGGCATGGCACCTTTTCACATGGATTTCCAAATCTGTCCTATTTATAGCGACTTGCCCACAGTCTGTACAAGCACACAATGTCTGAGGGTCAGAGGCTGGCTTCACCGTCAGGGAGTCCACCCTGGAGCCTGGAGGACAGGTGCTCCCCCGATCCTGCTCCACCTCCTGAGTTTCTGAGGTAGTCACGCACAGTCTCTGCACACTGCTGCTCGCTTCCGAGTGTTTCGGCACTGACTCTGTATCGTGTGTTTTCATCTGTGTTCTAAAGTGTTTCATAAACATCCTCTGAGTTTCATTTATGCCTCTTTTAATTCCTAAAAGATTAAACCTTTTCTTTGCCTGGCCCTTCAAGGTAAAAGCGCTGCTTCGTCGACGAAAGCTATTACCCAACACGACAATATTTCGCTCGGGTCTTGTCCTTGAGGTTACACTGACACCGTGTGCTGCCTGCTGGGTATTTTTGGTAGATTCCAATTTCTCTAACAGACCCTCTGAGGTTACTAAGGTGTCTAGCTTTTTACTCTGGTTTTCAGGATTCTGAGTTATACCAAGGGAACTAACATTTTCTTCAACAATCTCTACTTCCTGTGACGAAGTATTTCTGGAAGGCATCATTTCAACAAGAAGCTCACTACTACTGCCACTTTGTCTAGAAATGCTTCCTGTCAAATCTGGAAATTTGCTTCCCACATTTCGTAATCCTTTTGAATCAGTATTTTTTGCTATTTGTTTAGAAGTTCTTGGCTTGGAGCGAACACTTTTTGTTGCCATTGTACATGGTTTTTTAGGAAAAGGCTGTTTTGTTAAGATCTGTACAAATCCTCCACGAGCAGCCAGATTTTGACGACGGAGATGTGTTTTGCCAAGATAATGTGCATTCAACAGGTTTTCTTCTGCGCACTGAAAACCACAAAGATCACAAGAAAAGATCTTCTGTGGCCCATGTGCTTGTTTGATATGCATATGTAGTGCTGAGCTGCTCTCTGCTTTGTGGCTGCAGTGACAACAGGTATGTTCCTTAGACTGTTGCATGTGAGACTCAGCATGTTTTTCCAAATCAGAGCATGAAGAAAACAAATGCCCACAGGTGCTGCACTTGAGAACTGTATCTACATTCCCAATGGTACAACTAACATTAACTTCTTTCAGGGGGAAAGGAGATTCTCTTTCCAGATCAAGGGAAACCATTTCCTGAGCAGATGTTTGTTCAATGTCTGTTTTCAGAGAAACAACATCAATAGTGCTAACATCGCGAGAAGGGGAGAGGGCATTCAGGAGACATGTGCCTCCAACTGTGCAGTCACTCAGGGAGGCCTTCTTCCCTGCTGCATCTACTGCGATACCCTCTTCTGTGGCTGAGCTTTCAGAAGTTTCTAGTCTACAAACATCTTGCTTTCCAGATGTAAGGGGTTCTGCCTCATCTAATTTCCTACGTTTGGAAGCATGTTTATTATTGTCTTCTCCTATAACAACACTATCAAAGTTCGATGATTCTGAAAAACCTCTTTTGCTCGTAGAATTCTCAGGGAGATTTGCTATCACATCAGACACACGCCCATGATCTTCATTATGGGATGAAAGCTTTGTTAAGTCTTGTGCTTCTCTGTTTATCATTTCATCCTCGTCATTTTCGGCTTTATTCTCACTATCCATCATTAATAAAGTGCTGATGATGCTTCTATCTAAGGTGGCTCACTGGTACTCATAACCTGTGAAGTAAACAAACATGGTATTAAATCTTGAATATAAAGACATACGTATTAGTCCAAAACTAGATGAAAAAGTATCATACAATTAGCCTCAATGAAATGCCCTTTATACTGAGATGAATTTGATCACATGTCTAAAGTCTTTTATTAAGAAATCTGAAGTAGGATTTTAGGAACACCACTTTACCCTATTGCTGACTCAGGAAGAAATACCTGGTATCTTTGATAGAAAAAGTGATTTCTCAACAAACTCCCATATTTTCAATTCTCTGTACCAGTATACCTCAATTGACTGCTCTTTAAAAAAAACACACACACACAGAGAAGCTCCCCTTTTAAAATACGTTTCAATGAGCTCCTACTCTGTAAAACATATGAAAACAAAACTGCTGTGATTCAAGTCTAGAAGTGAGGCCTTCCCCTCCTTAATTCCCAAAAGGAGCCCAAGTCCTATATAAAAGAAACATAATTTTAAAACAGCTGTTTCATCCTTTTCTCCTAAAGCAAAGAGCTTTGCCAAACATATTCCAATGAACAACATGTATAATCTCATTACATATCACCATTAATGCTCAAGCTCTTTCACCAATGAAAAGCCACTTCTGGTCCAGCTGTCAATCATTAATTTCCTCATCTAACAGGCATTTTATATTGTCTGAAGGTTAATGGCAAAGGGAAATGTCAGTGGTAGAGTAGAATTAATGGAGTAAATTTTGACGAAAAAAGAAGAATTTTATTGAATAAAATGCCTTGAAATCAATAATATTGATTTTATTTTTCATTATGCTATTTAATTCAATTAAAACATATCATTTTCCATTTACTTTACAGCATGATTGGAATTTTCAGCCAAATGCCGTCTGATTTCATGTTAATAAAAAGACGTCAACATTTTATAGTCTCAAAGCTAATGACAACTATTTTAAACTATTTTAGCTATTTACTCCATAACATTGACAAATCAAATGAAGGCTATTACTTTGATTCAGCTAAAATTAGGGAACAAAAATATACTTACAATGTAAGACACCAAAAGTATTAACAATAAGAGAAAAAAATAACTGGACTTCATCAAAATTAAAAACTTCAAAAAACACTCTGTTTCAAAGGTCGCAACCAAGAAAGTAAAAAGAAAGCCCACAGAATGGGAACACATTTCTGCAAATCAGATATCTGATAAGGGACTTGCATCTAGAATATATTCTAAAAACTTTTGCAACTCAATAATAGATCAATTCAAAAATAAGCAAAGATTATGAAATACATTTCTTCATAGAAAATACATATAATTCTATGCATATGAAAACATACTCTACATTAGTAGTCACTAAAGAAATGCAAAACAAACCCACAAGGAGACACCACTTCAAACTCACCAAGATAGCTATACTCAAAAAATCAGTTAACAAGTGCTGGCAAGAATGTGGAACAAGTGGGACCCTCATAATACCACTAATGGGAATGAGAAATGGGGCAGCCACTTTGGAAAACAGTCTGCCAGTTCTTTAAACAATTAAACATGGTGCCAGCATGTAGCCCAGTCATTCTACTCCTAGGTATACACCCAAGAGAGACGAAAATACATATCCAACCAAAAACTTGTACGCAAATGCTGATGGCAAGGGTTATTCATAAGAGCCAAAAGGTGGAAACAATCCAAATGTTTATTAATGGATGAATGAATTGAGAAAATGTGATATCCGTGCAATGAAATAGTATTCAGTCATAAAAAGAATGAAGTATTAGTCAGGCACAGTGGCTCATGCCCATAATCCCAATGCTTTTGGAGGCCCAGGAGGGAGGATAGCTTGGGTCCAGTAGTTTGACACCCGCCTGGGCAACATAGCAAGACCCCAACTCTACAAAAAATAAAAAATAATAAAGATTAGTGGCAAGTGCCTATGGTCCTAACTCTGGAGCTGAAGCAGGAGGATTCTCGAGCCCAGGGGTTCAAGGCTGCATTGAGCTATGATCGCACCACTGCACTCCTGCCTGGGTGACAGAGACCTTGTCTCTAAAAATACAATACAAATAAAATTTCAAAAGAAGCACTAATACATGCCACAATGTGGATGGCCTTAAAAACATTATCAAGTGAAGACCACACAGTATATAGATTCCTTTTTATATGAAATGTCTAGAATACAGAAATCTATACAGACAGAAAAATAAATAGCCCTTGGTTTCTCGGGGCTGTAGGTAGGCAGGTAGAATGGAGGGTGACAGCTAAAGGGTAAGGGGTTTCTTTTTGAGGTGATAACGGTGTTTTAAAATGTATTGTGGTGATAGTCGCACACATCCATCAATAGATAATAATACTAAAATTCACTGAACTTAAAATATCTCAATAAAGCTGTTAAAAATATATAAATTATCAAATATCATCTATAACGTACAAATATTTGAAAAACCATAGAAAGATAAATATACATAGTTTTATTGCATTTATAAGATATTCGACATTAGTTCAAATACATTCCTTCAGAATAGGTTCCAGAAATTATAAATTATATAAGAGTAGGTGTTTTAGGTGAAAAAGCATCTCTGGTCAAAGAAGTTTAGAAAACTCATTTATTAGCCAGCTGTGGTGGTGTGAACCTGTAGCCCCAGCTACTCGGGAGTCTGAGGTGGGAAAACTGCTTGTGCTTTGGAGTTTGAGGCTACAATGAGTTACAACAGAACCACTGCACTCCAGCCTGGGCAATAGAGTGAGAGCCTGTCTCAAAAGAAAGGAAAGGAAAAGGAAGGGGGAGGGGGAAGGGGGGGAAGGGGGGAAGGGGGGAAGGGAGGAAGCGGGAAAGGGAAAGGGAAAGGGAAAGGGAACAAACATTACTTTACCGCAGGATTTCTTAGTACACAGGCGTTTCCCAACGTTATTTGATTACAGAACCCTTTGTTTATAAGGAATCAAGAGACTGGTGTTGCAAAGGATCCTTAGGAAATGCTCTTTTGGCTGAACACAGTGGCTCATGCCTATAATCCCAGCACTTTGGAAGGCCAAGGTGGGCAGATCACTTGAGCCTGGGAATTGGAGACCAGCCAGGGCAACATGGCGAATCCCTATCTCTAATTTAAAAAAAAAAAGAAAACAAACAAACAAAAAAAAGAACAGAAAATGCTCTTTTCTATAAAGCATTGATTTTCTATTCGACATTTGAAATTGACAAGTAAAGGGAGGAAAGGAAGTAAGAAAGAATCATGCACCCATTTCAACACCTTCACTTAGTGCCTACAGTATGCCAAATGTTCTTGCTTGTAGATGCTAGAAGCACAGCAAACACCACCCAAAATCATAGTCCTGTGAGAGCTTACAATGTAACAGATAAGACGATAAGACCACACATTGCTTAAAACAGATAAATTGTCCAACAAACCAGGCAGCTGCTTCTGGTCAAGATCAAGTCACAGGGGCTGGATTTACTCATATGCCTCAAGCAACTAAAAAAAAGTAAATAAAACCTACAAAGCAACAGTGCAAGAGAGCTGACATCAGACACCAAAGGACAGTCATTCGTGAGACAAACACACCAGGTGAGCCTGGCTTACTGCCTGAGAAAGTACACAGACCATAGCACAAGGAGGGGCGTTGTAAGTTGAGGGCAAAATAAAGGAGAAGAGAAAGGTGCAGAGAAAAAGAGGCCCAGAGATCTGCAGAGGTGACCTCCCAGGAATCCCTATCAAGATACAGAGCCCTGGGCTGGGACATGGTGGCTCACGCCTGTAATCCCAGCACTTTGGGAGGCTGGGACAGGTGGATCACAACCATGCTGGCCAACATGATGAAACCCTGTCTCTACCAAAAATACAAAAATTAGCTGGGTGTGGTGGTGCACACCTGTAGTCTCAGCTACTCAGGAGGCCGAGTAGGAAAGCTGCTTGACCCCGAGAGGTGGAGGTCGCAGTGAGCTGTGATGGCGCCGCTGCACTCCAGCCTGGTGACAGAGCGAGGCTCCATCTAAAAAAAAAGAAAAGAAGGCTGGGCGCGGTGGCTCAAGCCTGTAATCCCAGCACTTTGGGAGGCCGAGGCGGGTGGATCACGAGGTCAAGAGATCGAGACCATCCTGGCCAACATGGTGAAACCCCATCTC